CGCACTGCTGCCTCTGTATCAGAGGCAACAGCAAGGAGGTGGGCAGGTGGGAGCTGGGGAGCCAGCTTTTAAGCCAACTTCCCGCAAACACCGGCTCCTGTGGAACTACCTGCCCTCCCATGCTGTTGCCTCTGACACAGGAAGGGGAAAGGCTGGCTCATGGGGAGCCACCTTCCCCTGCACCCACATGTAAATGTGTAACCGCTGAACCTAAATAAACACATTTTAACATCCCTAGTATGTACCATTGGTGCAAATTGTAACTTTCCTTATCTTCCATAAAGAACTGCATTGATGCAGGTACATCTTCAGCTGCCATCAATTACTGAAATCATAGAATCCTAGGGCTGGAAGAGACCTTAGGAGGTCATCAAGTCCAGCCCCCTGCCCAAGACAGGACCAATCCCAACTAAATCAACCCAGCCAGGCTTTGTCAAGCTGAGACTGAAAAACCTCTAGGGATGGAGATTCCACCACCTCCCTGGGTAACCCATTCCAGTGCTTCACCACCCTCCTAATGAAAGTTTTTCCTGATATCCAGGACAGATTCCCAATACAGACAAGCAGTCAGATTCATATTTGGTATGGAAGACCTGGTAGGGTCTGCACACTTGAACACTATCATACAGTAATATTTCCCTTCTGCATGGTCTTCCGAGACCCTGTGTATCTTCAGCTGTCCCTGTCTGCTAGCTTCCATTCAGCGCAATTAACAGGAGCATGTATTTTACTGATGCACCTTTTTCCATAAACAGCTGTTCAATGGATAACGATGCACATTAAAATAATTATCTAATATGTAACATTACTTACACTAGAAATTCAAACCTGGACTTCTGACATGTGACATAGGATTAGAACATTCACACGATGCAGACAAATTGGAGACGAGGGAAGTAGCTATACTGAGCAACTCATTGCATTTGTTTTTGCATCAATTTTAGTGAATAGTGAAACCATTACCACAAAACTCTGGTGATCTCCAAACGACGCAGATCCCATTTGTTCTGCAAACATGAGCATATGAAGCTATGAATTCACAGATTTCATCTTCGGAGCAGCTGTTTTCTTCACATGCAGAATACAACACGTTTGGAGAAATTATTTTGTGGCACTGTTCAAACTCCTGTGAGAGCAAAACATTGCACTTGGCCGTGGTACGTTCTGTACATCTGTCTTTCTTGATTTCACAAATCTTGCCTGGTTCTTTTACAGTCCATTCTTGAATAAATGTGCTACTGTCAGATGTGACAGAGCCATCACTTAACATGAAGTCGTTGTCATTGTTTTGGTCACAAACCCCTAGGTGAGTGAGGAAAAAAAGTTTAGAAACCTTCAGCAATTAAACAAATTGGAGCAAACAAAAACAAGGCACACAGAGCTCCTCACTCGGGGTTCAAGAGTTGAGCTGCAAGGGGATGAAGAATGGGTTATGGCCCTTATTGCCTCTTTATAATTGATATAAGTCTAAAAATCTTATGGTGTTTACTTGTTTATTAGGTTAGAAATCCTGCTCTTGTTATTTGGCATTGAATGGCTGTCTGGAGAACCGGTGAGATTATGGCATCACAAGAGAGTGAAAGCTGAGCATGAGAGTATATCTATCCCATCACCAAGGCTGTGTCTACATTGGTGCGATCTTGTGCCAAAGCAGCCGCTTTTGTGCAAAAACATGCTGCCTGTCTACACTGGCGGGGAGTTCATGCGCAAGAACACTGACGTTCTAATGTGTGAAATCAGGGCTTCTTGCGCAAGAACTATGATGCTCCCACTCAGGAATAAGCCCTTTTGCACAACTGTTCTTGCGCAAGAGGCCAGTGTAGACAGGCAACATGAATTTCTTGCGCAAGAAAGCCCGATAGCTAAAATGGCCATCGGAGCTTTCTTGCGCAAGTGAGCGTCTACACAGTCACGGATGCTCTTGCGCAAAAGCACATCTCTTGTGCAAAGGCACATGCCAGTGTAGATGCTCTCTTGCGCAAATACTTTAATGCAAGAACTCTTGTGTTAAAGAATATTTGCGCAAGATCATGCCAATGTAGACGTTGCCTAAGCGTGTGTCTAGACTACATGGCTCCGTCGATAGAGCCATGTAAAGCAGTTTACCTGACATAGTCAATGAAGCGGGGATTTAAATAATCCCCGCTTCATTAAAATAAAAATGGCCGCCGCACTGTGCCGACAATCCGCTGATCCGGCACAGCGCGGCAATCTAGACATAGATCGGTCGACATGGGAAGCCTTTGTCGACCCCTCCCTTATGCCTCGTGAAACAAGGTTTACAGGAGCGGTTGACAAAGGCATTACCTGTCGACCGATCTGCGTCTTGACTTGCACGCTGTGCTGACGATCAGCTGAGCTAGCACAGCACGGCGGCCATTTTTATTTTAATGAAGCCGAGGATATTTAAATCCCAGTTCATTGACTATGTCGGGTAGTCTAATTTACATGCCTCTGTCGGCAGAGGTATGTAGCCTAGACATACCCCAAGGTAAAAAGAAAATAGAAATAACCCAAACACACACACATATAGATACTAGGGACATAAGCGAGTAGTCAATTACCAGATAAGCCTGGGCTTATCGGATAGTCGAGTCAACAGTGTGCATTCCCCCCACTTTGCTGCCTCTGTTTCACCATTTCTGCAGTGCCGCCTGCCTCCACTGCTGCTGCTGCCTCTATCAAAGGCAGCAGGACACTTGTCTGTGCTGCTTGGCCATTGGGTGTGTGTGTGTGTTGGTGGAGGGGGGGGGGGGGGGGGGGGGGGGCGGGGGAGGCTGCCATGAAGCAGCCTCTTCCCACGGTGGGCTCAGGCTCACCATGAGCAGAGACTTCTCCGGCAGTAGCTCCTGTCCATGGGGGGTGCCAACTCTCTGCCTGGAGCCCCCGCGGACAGGGGCTGCTGCTGGCTGGGCAGGCAGCCCAGCTCAGTCCCAGCTCACCCGGGGACCAAACCCCGGAGTGGCTCTGCTATTTAAAAAGCAATAGGAGTTGGGCTGCCTGCCCATCAGCTCCTTCTGCCTTTTAAATTGCAGAGCTGCAGTGGAGTTTGGTCTCAGAGCAAGCTGGGACTGAGCCAGCTGCTTTCCCCTATCAACTAATTAACCTAATTTTAACATCCCTAATACATACACACTTTCCCCCTACACCTTTCAGGTCTTCTTTATACATCATAAAAATGGAGGCGGGGGCAAGCTATTACATCTTTGCAGGTAGCATTTAAAGTACTGTGCTGGAAAAAGGACTGGCTTGTACAAAACAACTGTCAGAAAAGATGCAACTGGGACAAAGTGAAAAATCATGCAGTAGTTTAGCTGCCATGTGTCAGTGATAACTTCAGTGGCTACCAGATCCTGTGTTTGCACTCATGCAAATTGCTAATTCCCTTCATGTTTGGGTTAGAAGTTAAAATTCTGTTAACAATTTCATCAAGGATACTGCTGAATTATGATTATATATTTTTATTATTATTATTATTATTATTATACATTGCTAATTAAAATGTGGCAGGTGCTAGCCATACACAGATAAGACTTCTAGTAGCATTTGTTGCATCCCAGACAGCTATTTGTACTTGCCTGTGTTTAAGTTTGCATTGCTTTATTTTTCTGCAAAGATTTAGAATTTTTCTTTTGAATTTTTCAAGAATGTCACAGTTAAATTTTGAGCACAGAGGTGATGACCCAATTATATATTACTTTGTAATGGAATGTTCCCTCCACAAACTGAACAAAAACCCTGCCCCTTAGCTCAGAACCATTTATGTACCAAGTTAAATGGCTCCTTTCCAACATTTTCTGATTTATTGGTGAGGGGAGAAAGCCATCTTAAAACCCTGAAAAAGTATGATTCTTTTCAGTCTTCCATAACTCAAAAAGAGATGGCAGGATTTTCTTTAAACTTCACAAAGAATTTCACCCCTAGGCTAAGATCAAGCAAGGAAAGTTTCAAGCCTAAAGGAAATTTTCCAGACATATGCAAGCATTTTTATGGGAGCAAAGAAGTAAGCAAATAAGTTAAGAATATCATTGTCATAAACTATCCTGGTACAAGATGATTGCTTTAAGCCTCATCTAGCACTGTTTTTCCCCTAGATTTAGCAATAGCATTCCTTAGGTAGATCCAATCCTGCAAGCTATTCCACTCAGATATCTATGTGTATGCCATGTCTACATAGACTCAGAGCTTAGGTGAAGTGAGTTGGGGTTGTAGTGCTCAAGATCAGGGTTAAAAATAGCAGTCATGGGCTAGGTCTACACTGCAAAGATCAATCAGAAAAAGGAACGCAATTTGCGGTACACAAATTGTGTATCTTTTTCTGCTTTACTGTTGAAAGAGGCTTTTCTGAAATTTGGCGTGTCTACACGGCACCAAATTTCAGGAAAAAGCGCACTGTTGACACATCCCTTCTTTCTCGTAAAACCAGGTTTACAGGTATGGCAAAAGAGCGCGTTCTGACGGTATCTTGGAAAAGCACTGCAGTCTAGATGTAGCCTAGATGTTCACTTTCAGGCTGGAGTCCAGGCTCTGAAATCCAGCTGGGGGAGTACATTTCAGAGACAGAGTTCAACTGGGAATGATTACATTACCCTTGACAGCCCCCACAGCTCAAGCTCCACAAGTAGACCCAGGCCCTTAAAACAGCAGCCACAAAGAGTTTTTTGCTGTGTAAAGATACACAGAGAGATCAAAGTGGAACAATGGTCCTGTAGCATCTTAGACACTAACGTGATCCATGCCAGTGGTGCACAACGTTTTTTCAACCACGACACCCATATTTTATTGTACTTGTGTCGCAATGCCCAAGATCATTTGAACAGCGCAGCGCTTAGATCCAGGCAGCCAGAGCTTATGCCCACTGCTATGGCAACCCTCCAGGAAGACATCTGCAACCCCCCCTGAGAGTTGTTAAAGAAAAATAATAATAATGATAATTAATTAATTAATCAATTAATTATTTTGGAAAAAAACAGGGTGGCCCCTTTAAGAAATGCTTTTGAAGCTTTTTGGTCCTAACCGGCTGCCAGCAGCCGTCTACCATCTTTTCTTCCTGCTTCTGGCCAGACAGC